ATCATTGCAAGGTAACGTCGAATAGGTTGTCCAAGTGCCCGAGAGACATTCTGTTTGAAATTAAAGTTGCATTGAAGGCAAACACTGGAGTTCTTGACCTCTAAAAATCGTCAAACGAAACTCGTAAACGGGATGTGGAATTGCATTAGTCAATTCAATAGGCCGCAAAAGGCTAAAAGGTTCAGCTTATCCTAGCTTTTCACGCATCGAACAGACCTACGCCAATTTATTAGGCCCAACCGAATACCAATAATCGACTCCGGGCAATTAGAGCGGATAATATCGCTTACTGAATATTACACTTCCAAAAAAGAGGCTCAGTAGATAAATGTTCTGGACCTCGTCTTTACGAAATAATCAAATAAAATCGGCACAACTAGGTTCAAAATAATATCTGGTCAGCGTTAGTGCGCCAGTTTGCTTTGAGAACACTCCCTGTGCACTGCGGCAATAAAAAAGGAAGGCTGTTTAACTAAATCTCTTTCAAGAAAAGCTCGTTGACATCAGAAATGGGAATATTCACGACTGAGTGGCAGGACTTTCTTTTGGAAATCCCAAAAATATGTCAACATGTGGGCAGTATGGCGCCCGCAAAAGTGGGCGCAGTTCGTGTATGTGGCTTGCGCAGACGAGCAGTAGTCGCTTTCGGTCACTGCGTCAAATCAAATCGCCAGTGGCCTTACTGACTCAGACGATCGGGTGATTCATAGAAAGTGCAGCAGAGTGTAAAGCTGACCATTTAGAATCCATTTTAGCAGGAAATCAGCACACTACTCAATTGCATACACCTGCCTTGATTTAATCTATCACAACGTGTTCAGGTAAACGCTCATTAACGAGTGTCAAGAGCTCTTGACCTAAACGGGGAAGACAGCGCGCTCATGGCTCAATGGTTAGAGTGTTTGGCTCGGATCAAAAAGGCCATGAGTTCGAGGCTCGGCTGGGACGCCACTTGAGTCTGGATATGACTGGTTGACGATGGCTAAAGAGCCAGAAAAGGCCATTCCAGTCTCCCTTTTCTTTGCCGGCAATATTATGTGGTAAAATGTACGGCTTACAATGTTGTCAAGATTGAAGAGATATCATGCGTTGCTCAAAGAGTAAGCTTTGTAGCCTTTTTCCATGACGCAAAGGGCTACCATATGCAGACTTGTAAATTTGTCGTAAGGGGCGGGCGGCATATAAAACATTTAGACGGGCCGTTCATATCTTTCAACATCTATGCTCACAGCCATCTCTGGTCGTCTTGTCATTATTTTGCTATCAGAGCAGTGTAAATGTGGGAGGCGTAGGTGCAGGGGAGAATATATAATTCTGTGGCGG